TGAACTGTGTAATGAACTCTCAACTCAGGAGCTGCCCCCTTGTGGTCAGTGTGCTCCCACAAGGGGAGTGCTGCTCAGCCAGAGCAGGGCTCTTGGCTGGTGAGCACAGTGGCTTTGGTGTACCCTTTTCTCTTCTATCTCCATGGCAGCGTTAGGATGCCTGACTGATGACTGCGAGGGGCCACAGCCTGGGCTGAGGTGCCCCTCTCCTGAGTGCACGAATGTTGTGCACTGGTCCTCTCGTTATAAATAATTCTGCAATGAACATAAGAGCATATATATTTCTCATGATTCTATGTTGGGATTTTTAGGATCTATTGACAAAATGGCTCATAGGGTCAAGCAACAATTCTATTTTTAATTTTTTGAGAAAACTCTATACTGTTTTCTAGTGGCTGCTCCAGTCTGCATTTCCACCAGCAGTGCACATGGGTTTCCTTTTCTCTACATCCTCGCTAGCACTTATTTTTGTTGATTTGTTGATGGTAGCCATTCTGACAGGTGTGAGGTGATACCTTGTTGTTTTAATCTGCATTTCTTTGAAGCATTTTTTCATATGTATGTCCACTTTGAAGAAGTGTCTATTTAGTTCCTTTGTCTTTTTTTTATTGGTTTGTTTTTCTCCCTTATGCTAACTTGTATGAGTTCTTTATATATTTTGGAAATTAACCAATTATCAGATGTATCATTGGCAAATATGTTTTCCCTACGGAGGATCCCTTTTTATTTTGTTTATGGTATCTTTGCTTTGCAGAATCTTTTTATTTTGATGTAGGCCCATTTGTCTGTTTTCCCTTAGATTTTCTTAACTCTAGGTCGTGTATCAGTGAATATTTTGCTACATGAGATGTCTGATATTTTGCTCAAGGTTTCCTCTAGGATTTTTGTGATTTCATGACTTAACATTTAAATATTTTATCTATTTTCAGTTTATTCTTATGTGTGGTTTAAGTTGGTGATCTACTTTTATATTTTTACATGTACTGTTCAGTTTTCCAAACATCGTATATTATATTTACTCCATTGTATGCTCTTGCTTCCTTTTTCAATATTAATTGACCATAATGGCGTAGGTCGATTTCTGAGTTCTCTGTTCTGTTCAATTGGTCTCTGTGTCTGTTCTTGTGCCGGTACCAGTTTTGTGGGTTTTTTAAATATACTTTATTGATTATTTACAGAGAGGGAAGGGAGAGAAATAGAGAGTTAGAAACACTAATGAGTGAGAAATATCAATCAGTTGCCTCCTGTTCACTACATACTGGAGATGTGCCCACAACCCAGGTAGATGCCTTTGACCAGAATCGAACGTGGGACCCTTCAGTCCGCAGGCCGACGCTCTATCCATCGAGCCAAACCGGTTAGGGCCAGTTTTGTGTTTTGGTTACAATGGCTTTGTGTAATAATTTGAAATCTGATATTGTGTTCCCTCCGTCTTTGTTGTTCTCTTTCAAGATTGCTGTCACTATTCCGGGTCTTTTCTGGTTCCATATAAATTGTTGGAGTATTTGTTCTGTTTTTCTAGGAATTTGTCCATTTCATCCTCATTGATCAGCTTGTTGGTGTAAAGAGCTGGGGGTAAGAAGCACCTTAGGTTAGGAACAATAGACTGAAGTATAGAAGAA